TACTACTAGCGATGCACTTGTTCCTAGTAGCTTCTTGTTACTACTAGATGGAGGCCATTACTAATAGTAAACGCCGTACAAGAAACACCGTCTTTCCCTCAAGACGCCGACGCTGCGGTAGCCCACATGCTCATCGGATGTCTCTTTGGACCTGAGATTGCAAAAAGTGTGTAATAGTTGGATCTTGATACCATGATGTATGAGCTGCAAAATTGTATGCCCAAGCCAAGGCTAAGGTGGCCAATACCAGGTTACAAGTGTGTCTGTGCGAAAGCGAAATGCACCGGATTGTGATATTATGGCGCTCTAGTCTATGATGCTCTACGAATCATATCAAGGCCGGACCACTTTTCGGCTGTCATGTCTTTTGTGGGTCAGAACCCAAGTTCAAGCATTTCAGCAGCGGCCCGAGCTTGGAAGAATCTGTGAATCTGCCAGGTTTCAAGTCTTTCCCGCACAAACAGCAATTTCACCGAAATGTTCACCAGTTGTTCCTGTACATGCAGAATAAAATGATTGTGGATTCATAGTGTGAAATTGTTTCAGCCAAAAGCTGACATGTGTCGACATGTGTGGCAGCTGTGAAGCGAACTTGCTCTGGTTTTTCTTCGGTTGCTGCCGCACTTGTTCGATGTCCGCCTCAGGGAAAATCGACCCCAATCTTTGGAGGCGATAGTCCGCTTTACTAGCAAGTGCATCGCTAGTAGTAACAGGTGCCTTACTAGTAGTAACAAGAAGCTATTAGAAACAAGTGCATCGCTAGTAGCAAGTTGTCAGGAAGTTCTTGCCTCCCGCAACCAGGCCGCCTCCAATTCTGGAGTGTCTGCCTGTCAGTTTCCAAGCTGAGCATATGCATAAGTTGCCCTGCCACACTACACCTGCCTGCCGCACGGCATCTTGCAGGCTACGCTGAGCACTCCAGACTTTCTCACCATGCCTGACTTTGCCAAAGCAAATCTATTATGCATGAAAACGAGCTGAAGATCGCTTTCAAATGCTTCTAATCTGTTCTGTCAGGTGCCTCTTAAGCACTCAGCTGTCAACAAATCATCCATCAACTCTGACCCTAAACGAAACGACGACTTCGATCGCCTTGGGGAGCTCGAAGCAAAACGCTCTCGCTCTGCAGCCCTCCGAGCAGTCTGTCGAGGCCTTGGAGAAAAGCGCACAGGGCTTTGCAAGAAAACGCTTTTCACATAAAGTCATAAAGTCATGTTTTCTTTTTTCCATGTTCCGAACATGTCCGGTAGTAAAATACGATAGTACAATTCAAGACAAGGATTCCCAAGGCAAGCATAGTTCGGGGGTTTGTATATAACATGTACACAACTTCTGTTTATGCAAACAGTCGCGAGCTGTATTGTTTCGCTTGACAATACCATCTCAACATGTTTCTGGCCATCCCGAACTGAAAATCACAAGCAAATGAATTTCAAGTGCGATTGCCAGGAGTTACAAACTACTGCTAATAACCTTTGGTAATGCTGCTGAGATGCAACGTGATGCAGCATGATGCAGCTGTGAGCAAAGCTGACCAATACCCTTCAACTCTTGGCACACACCTGCTTGCAACCTTTTTGGTAGCTCGCCAAAAGTCTCCAATAGTATAACTAGGTTGAGCCATGCAGCCTGACGAAAAAAACAAAGCACTGCGTTCCTCTGTTTTCTTGAGTGAACAGCTGCTTTCACGCAAACCAGTGGTTGATCCCTAAGTAAGCATCAAATAGGTTACCTCTAAACTAACCTGTGAGAATAGATTTCTAACGGTGGTGGTTGTGCTGTCCTTACACCACCACAGGGTTTGCTTACACGCCAGGGGTTGCTTTAGGAGCTTACGCTGTACTGCTAACTGGTGTTTTTGATTACAGCCACGGCTTACTCGCCAACTTTTGCAATCTGAAGGAGACGTTTTAAAAGGAAAGAGTGCTGCTGCACTGGCTGCTGCGTATGCCCTGAGTTGAATAGCTTGTCATATCACCAAATCGCTTCTCTTTGGGCGGCATCGTGGACTAGGATGCATGAGCGGAAACTTAAGCTTCCACACGGCTTCTACACTCGTGTTTGCCTAATTTTTGCACCAAAAAGGCGTCACACTAGGGAACATCAATGAGAACACAAAGTTGCACATTGCTGCAAAGCCTCTTGGCCACGAACAAGCGATAAAGAAAACACTAGGAATGACATGGATTGACCATGGGCCACTGCTTTTCGAACAGCAGGTATTTTCAGCAAGTGTCAAAACAGTTACTAAAGAACACAGCAGCGACAACCATTTAATGGACCATGGAGGTTGATCTTGTTTCAGCCGCTTGTATACCTAGATTGACTGCACCATTCCATCTGAGTGTGATGGCCGTTGTTTGCGTCGCCACTGGAGAAAATCCTGCCGACTTTCACCAGGAAAAAGCTCAGAAAAAATAGAGGCTGCAGGCCTCCAAGGTCGGCTCACGTCTCTCTGCCTCCAAAAGTTGTTCACGAACAGGAAATAACAAAAATCTGGAAAATGGGATCACGTCTCTCAATTAAATCGAAAAAAGCTCTAGATCAGCCTCGTCTTCGACAGCTCTTCTCCGCACAGAAGAGGTGGCCTGCTCCCCAAGGCTCTGTAGCACTCTGCCGTCAAAAGAAATGTCAACAAGCAGAAGCCAAGCGAGCCTTTTCAGCGGATTCGGTGGATGCCTGCTAGGCACTTAGAAACTTGCCATGATCCTACTCCTCTGTCAACAGCCAAATCCTTCAACAAACAACTGGGCAACAAAGAGCATAACCGTTTCGCTGTTGGGCAAAGAATTCCTTGAGAGGCTCTAGCATGGCACAACGTCCTCTAATTCCACACACACACATTTGCATAAGCCCAAAATCTGGCACCTCAAAGTTCATTGCATGCGCATACGCCTGACTCAAAGCCTGAAACCTGGTCACTTCGCAGAATTGTGAGGCTTTGCTCATTTTGATCTTGAACTTATTGACACTTGCCTGGTTGATTTGTTGGACAGCACTGTCTCAAGCCAACGCCTCTCTGGATCACCGCCACGATCAGGGTGCCACAAGCGTGCTCTCGCACGGAAGGCACGACGCACCTCTCCAGCAAAGTCAACTTCAATCCTAAGAAGTAACGCGCAAAAGCTGTTCAAGTTAGCCCAAAGCTGTCGACATTTTAGGACAAATCTTCGCGTATCTGCGGGACATCTGAAGATATGACAGCCTGGCCTCGCTGCTGCTGGCACCGGGCGAAAGTCCCAAAACCTTGAGATCGGATACAATGTCCGAATGTAGACAAGTCCATTCGCAACTTGACAGTTGCTCTGTTGACACGAGAGGCTAGACAGCATATGAGATCACTCGGGTTGCTGCTGACCATGGATCTGTAGCTTCCTCTGTGACAAGGCATGATGTATATCGATGCGATAAGCGCACGGGCAAGCGCATCCAGTCAGGCTCCCATATTTGATCGTGTGTGCCGCGTGCAAATTTTTGGTGCGGAGACTTCGCATATCTCACTTGAGCAAGTCCTCTTCCCCTCAAGCTACAGCTACAATTGTAGCTTGCCCGTCCGAAGCTACGCAAGTTGCAGGACCAGAGTTCCGCCAAGAGAAAGATGGTACTGCACTACTGCACAAGTGTAGCATTGTAGCTTTGTTTTGCCTCGACTCTGGTTCTGAATATGGAAGTGTTGTGGCTAAGTTTTCTTGACCCCGACAAACCCGACCTCTACCGAATGTTCTCAAATTAGGTTGGAGGCCAAAGCTACTGGGTTGGAGGCCATCGCTAGTGTTCTCCTCAAATAATATATCCTCAAGAGTATTCTATGCGCAGCTCATCCATCACGGCGACAAGATCTGGATCGTCCTTGCCTTCAGTGGTCCGGCCAACAAAGACCAAGCACATGAATCATGCTCCGATTCTACTTGGCGGATGTCTCTGCTGTTCCCAATCCCTGGTCTTTAAAGAGTTATATAGATATGACTGCCATACAGGATAGGCATTCGATGTTGTTTAAAAAAAAAAAAACAACTTTTCAGGCTATATAAAGCTACTAGTAGCTCCTAGCCTTACTACTAGGAGCAAGAAGCTATTAGGAGCAAAGGGCATCGCTACTAGGAGCAAAGACGCTACTAGTAGCTCCTAATTCACTCAGTGAACACCATGCAGTTCCAACCAAGTCCAGAGGCGTGCACTCGGTGGCTTCACTAAACGCCAAGAAACATGGAGCCAATGTCACCAGCCATGAGAAGTTCATGTGTTCCTGAGAGAGTTCATGGCCAATATGGCCACTTGCACACACTCTCCGGGGCGCGCGCGATCTCTCCCTCTCTCTCTCTCTCTCCCTTCCCTTCTCCAGGAAAAAAACAAACAACATATATATATATATCCAGTTCTACGCAATTCATTCAAAACTAAGTCTACTCTTGGACATGACCTGGCCCTTCAAGCAAATGGCTTTTCGTTCTGCGACTTGCCTAGTAGAAATCCGTCCAAGAGTCCAGGACTGAAATCAGTGAAGCCATGGGGATGGTCTCCAAATCCTGAAAATTGTCAAACCAAAACAACCGGGCAATGCCGCTGCCTGGAACAAAACACATTCATGGCATAAATCAGCCTACCTGCTGCCCACCGGCAAGCGCCAATTTCTCCTCGAGAATGCGGATGACCTCTCGCTCGGCCGGTTCGCCACTCTTGAACACACCCAAACAATCATAATACCCAAATGTGGGAGCTAAAAAACCTAACAAGTTGAAAATCACACAGTGCAAATGCGCACACAATGTGGCACCTTCCATGCTGTCGGGCGCATCTTCAAGGCTTTGGACTTTAGCTGAGGCAAGAGAACCTACACCGATCATGTCTGGGCGGCCTTTTCTTGCAAAAAGCCTTGCAGCCTTCGAAGACCAAGGAGCTGTTAGCATCTCTGCTTCGGTGAGGTTTCGAAGATATTCTCTTTGCCTCAAGAGGTGTTTGTTTGTTGGTTCGAGAGATCACTATCAGTCTGTACCATGCACATCTGGCAGTACTGTTTCTTTTTTTTTGCAATCTCACTCTGTTTTACTTGCTTGATGCTTTGCTGCCTTGTTTTCTACAAACAAAGTGCACAAAACACATGTAATCACGGGAAGCATTTGAGACAGCAAGGCCCACGAACCCAAATGCACACACGCACCCAAACACAAACAGCCACGCCCTTAAGACATCTTAAGACACAGTAGTAACAGGTGCCTTACTAGTAGTAACAAGAAGCTACTAGGAAC